AGGTCCGCACCGCTGGACGGCCTGCTCCCAGCTTTCAGGAGACATATGTGTGTTTTTTTTAATGTATTTTTATTGATTTCAGAGAGGAAGGGAGAGGGAGAGAAACATCAATGGCGAGAGAGAATCACTGATTGGCTGCCTCTGCACTCCCCACACTGGAATGGAGCCCAGGCATTGCCCTGACTGGGAATGGAACCGGACCTCCTGGTTCATAGGTCTGAGCACGCCGGCTGGGCAGGAGGCGCATGTCTTGAACGAGGGCAGCCACTTGTGTCTAAAGTTTGTCGAGGACAGGACACTCCCTTCTCATCGGGAAGCCGCAGCGGGCCTGGTTTCCCTGGCCCCTCCTGGCGCTGGGGCAGCCGGGATGCAGGCGCCTGTCTGACCTGCAGAGGGAGGGCCCGGCCTTTCCGTCCCTCTCACACCCAGGTCCCCACCTGGGGGTGGGGCACGGGCTCTGGGATCAGCCTGTTGGCTATTCGAAGCCCTACCTGCTTTCCCAAGCACATGGAGGGCATTGTTTGCTCAGGTGCTCACCCTGATCTATCCAGGATGACGCTCGGGGCTCAAAGAAACGAAAAGTCCAGCCTCTGTGCCGACCAGCACAGCCTACCAACGAGAATCGTCACATTGGTGACTGCACCGGGGTGGGTGGCCCCGGCTCCGGCCTGCGGAAATATGTCCGCTTCCAACCGCACGCTGCCCGGAGGATGGACTCCTTTCCACGGGGACTGGCTGATGGTGCTTATTTTTCTTCAGGGTGTTTATTTCACCGTTTCACACCATTTGTCAGTTTCTAAGCGGTTAATAAATTTATGCCTCTTTCAGATGTGTGTATATAGAACAAGTGTTTGATTTCCTGTGGTCTCTCTACCCTCACACAGTCTGAGTGATGGCATGTGTGACGCCAACTTCAGACTCCAAACCCAAGGGCAGCCTTTGATTCTTAGCAGAAGCCCGTGGACGGCCTGCCCGGCTGCCCGCCTCAGCTCTGTGGTGGCGGCTCTGTGCCACGGCCCCTGGGGAGGTGCCCTGCGCCCCGGGAGCAGGCCACAGGCCCCAGGGGCAGTTCCAGAGACTGAGGTGTCCTTCGGAACGGCGTGGGGTCACTCTGGCAGAGGGCGGGCAGTGATCGCTCTGTGGCAGAGGGCGGGCGGTGGTGTGGGGATCGCTCTGTGGCAGAGGGCGGAGTGGTGGGGCGGTGATCACTCTGTGGCAGAGGGCGGAGTGGTGTGGGGATCGCTCTGTGGCAGAGGGCGGAGTGGTGGGGCAGTGATCGCTCTGTGGCAGAGGGCGGAGTGGTGGGGCAGTGATCGCTCTGTGGCAGAGGGCGGGCGGTGGTGTGGGGATCGCTCTGTGGCAGAGGGCGGAGTGGTGGTGTGGGGATCACTCTGGCAGAGGGTGGGCAGTGGCGTGGGGATCGCTCTGTGGCAGAGGGTGGGCGGTGGTGTGGGGATCGCTCTGTGGCAGAGGGCGGAGTGGTGGGGCAGTGATCACTCTGGCAGAGGGTGGGCGGTGGTGTGGGGATCACTCTGGCAGAGGGTGGGCAGTGGCGTGGGGATCGCTCTTGGCAGAGGGCGGAGTGGTGGGGCAGTGATCGCTCTGTGGCAGAGGGCGGAGTGGTGGGGCAGTGATCGCTCTGTGGCAGAGGGCGGAGTGGTGGGGCGGTGATCACTCTGTGGCAGAGGGTGGGCAGTGGCGTGGGGATCGCTCTGTGGCAGAGGGCGGAGTGGTGGGGCGGTGATCGCTCTGTGGCAGAGGGCGGGCGGTGGGGCGGTGATCGCTCTGTGGCAGAGGGCGGAGTGGTGGTGTGGGGATCGCTCTGTGGCAGAGGGTGGGCAGTGGCGTGGGGATCGCTCTGTGGCAGAGGGCGGAGTGGTGGGGCAGTGATCGCTCTGTGGCAGAGGGTGGGCAGTGGCGTGGGGATCGCTCTGTGGCAGAGGGCAGGCAGTGGCGTCAGCATGCGGGCGGTGTGGCCGGAAGCAGCAGTGACAAGGAGCTCCCGGGGATGTGAACGTCGTGGGCCTTCCCAGTGTCCCTGTGGCCGCGGGAGCCAGGGCAGGGCCGCTGCAGGCCTCTCCCCCAGTCTCAGCGCAGCCTCCCCCTCCCCGTGGCCTTCTGCTCCTGTTGGCCCCGTGCCGCGGGCCCCGTGCTGCGGGCCCCGTGCTGTTGGCCCCGGGCTGAGGGCTGCGGGCCCCGTGCTGTGGTCTCCATGCCGTTGGCCCCGGGCTGCGGGCCCCGTGCTGTTGGGCCCGTGCTGTTGGCCCCGTGCTGTTGGCCCCGGGCTGCGGGCCCCGTGCTGTTGGCCCCGTGCTGCGGGCCCCGTGCTGTTGGCCCCGTGCTGTTGGCCCCGTGCTGCGGGCCCCGTGCTGTTGGCCCCGTGCTGTTGGCCCCGGGCTGCGGGCCCCGTGCTGTTGGCCCCGTGCTGCGGGCCCCGTGCTGTTGGCCCCGTGCTGTTGGCCCCGTGCTGCGGGCCCCGTGCTGTTGGCCCCGTGCTGTTGGCCCCGTGCTGTTGGCCCCGGGCTGAGGGCTGCGGGCCCCGTGCTGTTGGGCCCGTGCTGTTGGCCCCGTGCTGCGGGCCCCGTGCTGTTGGCCCCGTGCTGTTGGCCCTGTGCTGTTGGCCCCGTGCTGCAGTCCCCGGGCTGCGGTCCCCGTGCTGTTGGCCCCGTGCTGTGGTCTCCATGCCGTTGGCCCCGGGCTGCGGGCCCCGTGCTGTTGGCCCCGTGCTGCAGTCCCCGGGCTGCGGTCCCCGTGCTGTTGGCCCCGTGCTGTGGTCTCCATGCCGTTGGCCCCGGGCTGCGGGCCCCGTGCTGTTGGGCCCGTGCTGCAGTCCCCGGGCTGCGGTCCCCGTGCTGTTGGCCCCGTGCTGTTGGCCCCGGGCCGCGGGCCCCCGGGCTGCGGTCCCCGTGCTGTTGGCCCCGTGCTGTTGGCCCCGGGCCGCGGGCCCCCGGGCTGCGGGCCCCGTGCTGTTGGCCCCGGGCTGCGGGCCCTGTGCTGTGGTCCCCGTGCTGTTGGCCCCGTGCTGTTGGCCGCGGGCCCCGTGCTGGTGGCCCCAGGCTGCGGGCCCCGTGCCACGGAGCCTGCGGGTGGGGCGGCCAGACCGGAGCTGCGGTGTGGGCGGCCCGCTGACTGAGCGGCCGCGGATGGGAAGGACGGGCTGCTGATCCCATGGAAACCCCTGGCTTCCTCCTCACACCCCGCTGTTCCGAGAGGTCTCCTCGTCAGAGGCTTTGGAATGTCTGGTCATCCGTTAGTTCTGTTTCTCTTGTAGGAGAGACAAGTGGGGTGACCCAATCTGAATTATAAACTTTAAAATTGTGATAAGTACACATAACTAATGTTTACCACTTTAACCATTTTTTAAAAACATGGATTTGAGCCCAGCCAGTGTGGCTCAGGGGTTGAGCATCAACCTATGAGCCAGGAGGTCAGGGTTCTATTCCCAGTCAGGGCACATGGCCAGGTCATGGGCTCCATCTCCAGTGGGGGGCGTGCAGGAGGCAGCCAGTCCATGTTTCTCTCTTGTGGTTCATGTTTCTCTCTCTCCCTCTCCCTTCCTCTCTGAAATCAACAACAACAGTTAAAAACTTTAGAGAGAAAAACATGGATTTGAGAGTGAAACACCGTCGGCCGCCTCCCATCTCCCACAGGTGCCCAGGCGGGGTCGAACTGTGAGATGAGCCGGCAGCAGCTGAGCCCCACCCTCCAGGGCCGTTTCCACCCTGTGAAGGCGCACAGTTCAGTGGCGTTAAATAATTCACCCTGCTGTGCAGCCACACCACCACCTATTTCCACAGCTTTTCATCTGGCAAAGCTGAGACCCCCCTCAAGCCCTCCGCCTCCCGCCCCTCGCCCACCCTGCCCTTCCTGTGTGCGCTGGGCTCTTTGGATCCCTCCTGGGAGTGAAACCTGCTTGTCCTCTGAGCTGGCTTCCCCCAGCGCGTGTCCTGGGCACCACGTGGGGCCGGGCCAGCATGGCCTCCTCTCTGAGCTGCAGGGCGCGGAGTGGTGTCCGGTCCTCCCTCAGGCTCGATGTGGAGCCTCGGTCCCCCGGAGGCGGCCCTGTCAGCATCGCCCCTGACTTCACATCCTGCCGCCCAGGGTGAGGCCCATCCGCCCACTCCCAGGCGGGAGTCTGAAGGTGGAAGGGACCGGGTGGGATAAGAGTGGGGTCTGGAGGCCCACCCACAGGTTCTAGGCTGTCACTCACTCTCGACCTCCTTCCCCCGTATTTGGGGACGGCCCAAGTCTTCCTGCTGCCTCCCGGGAGCGACCGGCTCTGCCTTTGCCCGCGGTGTGTGTGTGGGGGGTGGGGGGCTGCCGTAAGGGTGAGCACCCCTCGCAGTCGTGGCAGCTCCGTGCTTGGCCCTGGCGGCCGGCGGGCCGGGCGGAGGGGGCTGGCAGAGAGAGCTCCCTCTGACTGTTGGGGCGGCGGGGCCTGGGTCTGGGCGGCCTGCTGCTCTGGCCCCAGGATTGACTCCGTGAATGATGCTCGCGCCCGCTGCTCCGTCCGTCGGTCCGCTTGGATCCGCAAGAGGCCCTGTGCCCGCTGCATCCAGTCCGCCACCACCGAGGCCCCTGGGCCGCGGCGCCCATCCCCCTCCCACCCCCCTCCCGTCCCCCTCCGGTCCCCCTCCGGTTCACCCCCGTCCCCCTCCCGTCCCCCTCCCGTGTCCCTCCCGTTCACCCCCTGTCCCCTCTCGTCCCTCCCACCCCCCTCCCGTCCCCCTCCCCCACTCCCGTCCCCTCCCATCCCCCTCCCCTCCCCTCCCGTCCCCTCTCCCCCCCCCATCCTCTCCCGTCCCCTCCCCTCCCGTCCCCCTCCCCGTCCCCATCCGTCCCCATCCCGTCCCCCTCCCGTCCCCCTCCCGTTCACCCCCCATCCCTTCCCGTCCCCTCCCACCCCCTCTGCCCCCCTCCCGTTCACCACCACCCGTGCTCTGGGCCGGGGTGTTGGGAGGGTCCTGCTCCGCTAACACTCCCTCTGCTCTCTTGTGCAGGGGATTCGGAGGCGCCTGACCCCAACGACCCTCCTGGACCCCTGGATGGACACGGCAGCCCCGTCCCAACCCCGAAAGGTAACGGAGGCACGCCTGCGCGCGCCTGCAGTGCTCCGGCTGCCGCCCCGAGGGCGCCCCATAGCTGTCTCCGCACTGCGCTGTGGGCGGGGGGGGGGGGGGGGGGGGGGGCACGGCTCACTGCCACCCTGACAGCTGTCTCCGCACTGCGCTGTGGGCGGGGGGGGGGGGGGGGGCACGGCTCACTGCCACCCTGACAGCTGTCTCCGCACTGCGCTGTGGGGGGGGGGGCACGGCTCCCTGCCACCCTGACAGCTGTCTCCGCACTGCGCTGTGGGGGGGGGGCACGGCTCACTGCCACCCTGACAGCTGTCTCCGCACTGCGCTTTGGGGGGGGGCTGGCACGGCTCACTGCCACCCTGACAGCTGTCTCCGCACTGCGCTGTGGGCGGGGGGGGGGGGGCACGGCTCCCTGCCACCCTGACAGCTGTCTCCGCACTGCGCTGTGGGCGGGGGGGGGGGGGCACGGCTCACTGCCACCCTGACAGCTGTCTCCGCACTGCGCTGTGGGGGGGGGGGGGCACGGCTCCCTGCCACCCTGACAGCTGTCTCCGCACTGCACTGTGGGCGGGGGGGGGGCTCGGCTCACTGCCACCCTGACAGCTGTCTCCGCACTGCGGTGTGGGCGGGGGGGGGGGGGGGCCACGGCTCCCTGCCACCCTGACAGCTGTCTCCGCATTGCGCTGTGGGGGGGGGGGGGCACGGCTCCCTGCCACCCTGACAGCTGTCTCCGCACTGCACTGTGGGCGGGGGGGGGCTCGGCTCACTGCCACCCTGACAGCTGTCTCCGCACTGCGCTGTGGGGGGGGGGGCACGGCTCACTGCCACCCTGACAGCTGTCTCCGCACTGCGCTGTGGGGGGAGGGGGCACGGCTCACTGCCACCCTGACAGCTGTCTCCGCACTGCGCTGTGGGCGGGGGGGAGGGGGAGGGGGCACGGCTCACTGCCACCCTGACAGCTGTCTCCGCACTGCGCTGTGGGCGGGGGGGAGGGGGAGGGGGCACGGCTCACTGCCACCCTGACAGCTGTCTCCTCACTGCGCTGTGGGCGGGTGGGGGGCAGTGTTCTGGCTGCCGCCCCGAGGGCGGGCCCCCATAGCTGTCTCCGCACTGCGCTGTGGGTGGTGGTGGGCAGGGTGGGTGGGAACCGCTGCAGGGAGGGAGGGCCGTAGGGCAGGTGGGCTCCTGGCGTGGCCACTGCGTCTCCTGCTGACAGATGGCCGTCCATCTGCTGGGCTTACTCCCCATGTGACTGCCCAGAGGGGAGGGCGTCTCCGCGGGCACTACTCTCCCCGGTCAGCGGGGCCTCTTCCCCCAGAGCTCCCCTCCCCCCAGTCAGCAGAGCCTTCTGTCTGTGGTCCCTCCTCTGTGGATGCTGCCTCCCTGCTCACTGGCGCCCTCTGCAGGCATCTTAGGCTTACACAGTCCGCAGGACGTATTTCCTGCGACTTTTCTTTCCTCATCCAGTCACCGTTCACCTAGGTCATGGCCTCCGTTGGCTCAGCTGCCATAACCTAACTGACACGCGGTGGCCCAGCCAAGGGGAGGGCCTCACAGTTCTGGAGGCTGAGCGTCCTGCAGAGGGCGCTGTGCCCCTCTTCCTGGCCCCACCCTAGCACCGCCTCTATCTGTTCACTCCCCAAAGGCCCGCCTCCAACATCTGGATTTTGGGGACACACTGTAGTTTGACAGTTACCTGTCAGCACAGCTACTTTATCTCTGTTTGACCTTGTGACCTGAAGCCCAGAATCCACCATCACTTCACAGCCCTTCACGCAGGGTCTGTGTGCCCCCTTCGGGCCTGTGCCTGAGGCCGGTGGTCTGGGGAGTGAGCGGTGGAGCCTCTGCCACCGGGGCTGTGGGTGCCGGTCGCTGGTGCCGCACTCCCTGCTCCTGGTGCTTGTGGGGCGCGCCGTTTGCGTGGAGGTGAGCTGTGCGGGGTGAGGGTGGCGGAGGCTCCGTGGCCAGGTTCCTGTCATGCATCGAGTGTCAGAGTGACCTCGCTGGCTCGCTCGCAGTGGCCTGGCTGCTGTGGGAGGCTCAGGCAGAGACGTGCCAGGTGCCACGGCCGAGCTGGGAGCCTGGGCTGGGGAGCGTCAGGGAGAGAGGTCACTCTGGGCTTGTTCTCACCCTCAGCGGCAGCAAGCTCCGTGAGAGCGGGCCGAATCCGGCACCTTTGGGATGCTGAGCGGTGGTGCCCTCTGCTTGTCGGCACTCGCCGCCTGCTTGGCCGGCCCGCCCCACCCGTGCCGGACAGCTCCGTGGGTTCCGGGCAGTCTGGGAGCCTGGACTCGCCTCCACGGAACGCCCTGCAGAGGCTGCGGCCAGGGGCTGTGTGTCTGGACAGGGACGCTTCGTTATAACTGATGGCGCTGGGAGCAGTGACCAACTGGTCTCAGTGTACGCTGTCTCCCCTAAAGCCGCGGAGGCTGTGCCACCGATATCGGAGGACTCCTGTGCCAGAGGAGCCGAGCCCGAGCTGGGTGCCCGGGGCAGCCTGGGGCAGCGTGGCCGGGGGCAGCGGTCTGAGCCGGGCTGGGTGGTGCCCGCCCTCTGTGTGGCCGTGGGCGGGAGGAGAGCCGGGCAGCCTCGCCCGGAGGCAGTGGCTGGACGTGCCGCTTGTCCTTGCATTTGTGATCGGTGCCTGAGTGCCCGTCACTTTCCGGCGCGGCTGCCCCTGCTTCCCGGGCACCCAGCTCCTCCTGGGCCCGCCTCCTCCGCACCCCGGCGACAGAGGCGCCGACCCGTGCTTTCCTGCTGACAGCGGCTGGGAGGGTGCTGGCGGCACATCAGGCTGGCGTCATAGACCACAGCGCTGCCAGCGAATGGGTGGCACAGGCCGCTGCTTCTCCAGGGCGGCTGCCGGCCGGGCCTCTGAAGCGCAGGCGATGAGGGTGCCCCCGCCGAGCAGATCGGAGGGTGGGGGAGGCGGGGTCGAGGGACTGGGGCCAGAGGAAGGAGCGTGTGTGCTCAGATGCCCTGTGCCAGGCGTGTGGGAGACCTGAGCTGCGGGTTGGTGTGGAGTGTCCCACTGTGGCCGTCGGCTCTGGCCCGGCGCTGTGTAACGGCTGGCACTTAGCAGCCGCGCTGTGTTCCTTGTCACGTGAGGTACGTTATTTGTTGTTACTACAAAAGCACACATGTGGCCTGGAAACCATTTACTCACCTGTTCCAGGGCACATGCCCCATCCGGGTTCTGTGAAAGTGCAGGCGGGTTCGAGGAAGTGGCCGCTGTGGAGAGGCCGCAGGGTGCCGTCGGCCGCAGCTGCCCGTGCCCGCACGCCGACCCTCATGCTGGCTGCAGGGAGGGCCGCCTGCCGGAGGAGGGTGGCTGCAGCCCAGGTGACCTCAGCGTCTGAATGGACAGAGAAAGCAGCAGCCACAGAGGCCGGCCGCCGTGTTGGCATGGAAATGAAGCCCGTTCTCTGCCCCCGTTCATGTGGGATGGGTGGATCGATTAGCGTACATGTTGGGTGCAAATCTAGTTTACTATGGAAATGTGTGTGTGTGTGTGTGTGTGTGTGAGAGAGAGAGAGAGAGAGAGAGGGGGGGCCTGGGGGGGAGGAGGAGGAGGAGACAGAGCCGGGGTGGGGAGAGATTGTTTCTTAGAGTTAGCATAGATGAGGGCCTCCTAGGCTGATGGGGTAAACTGAGACCAGCACACTAACTGCATGCAGTTCTGTGGTGGGAATGTGGCCCAGCCGAGCTGGAGGCTGGCCCTATGGGGCACCCCCCCCCCCCATCAGCCCCCCACCCCCCACCCCAGGCTGCGAGTCCCCTGCCGTGGTGCTGCCGGCGGAGCATGCAGAGGCCCCAAGCCTCCCCTACCTCCTGGGCAGGGCTCCCCAGGGGTCGGCTCTGGCTTTGTCACTGCGGGTTCGAGGCCCTCGGGCTCTCCGAGGTGGACCGAGGGAACCATGCTGGGAGACAGTATTGACCCACGGGCTGGTTTCAGAGCATGCCGGCACTGCGGTCATGGCCAGGCCTGGACAGCGTGGGGAGAGGGGCCTGGCCTCCTCTCTAGCTCATCTTCCCAAGTGCCCCCTCCCCCAGGTAGCTTCTGCTACCAAAGCCGCAGCTGGGACAGCGTCATGGCATCTGGCAGCCACTGCCATTGCTGCTGGTGACACAAGGCAGGGGTTCTTCCTTCTCAGCTCGTGGTACATGGTGCTGCCACGGCTTATTCATGTAGCTTGTCTTATGGCAGCCGCGGGGTGTGTGTGTGTGAGGGTGCAATGTTGTTGTCCCTTTGCTGGGCTATGAGTGTCACCCTGAGCTGGGCAGTCTCCTTCCCTGCCTCAGTTTCTGGCAGAGCGCAGTTCCGCAGACCCAGTGTCCAAGGTTAGGAGCCCAGGCTCAAGGCTGCTCCCCTGTGACTCCCGAGGAGCTGCCCCGGCCTCTCCCTGTTGCTGGCCAACCCTGCTGCCTGGCTGGGAGAGCACCCTCCGCTCTGTCTTTCCCTGCCCCTTCTCTGTGTACCTGGGCCCAGATTCCTTCCTGCAGGACCCGCTGTTGCATAGGAAGGACCTCCTATTGCACAGGAAGGACCTGCTGTTGCACAGGAAGGACCCGCTGTTGCACAGGAAGGACCCTCTGTTGCACAGGAAGGACTTCCTATTGCACAGGAAGAACCGCTGTTGCACAGGAAGGACCGCTGTTGCACAGGAAGGACCAGCTGCTGCACAGGAAGGACTGCTGTTGCACAAAAAGGACCAGCTGTTGCACAGGAAGGCCCCGCTGTTGCATAGGAAGAACCTCCTATTGCACAGGAAGGACCTCCTATTGCACAGGAAGGACCTGCTGTTGCACAGGAGGACCTGCTGTTGCACAGGAAGGACCCCCTGTTGCACAGGAAGGACCCGCTGTTGCACAGGAAGAACCGCTGTTGCACAGGAAGGACCCGCTGTTGCACAGGAAGGACCCGCTGTTGCAGCAGGAAGGACCCGTTGTTGCAGCAGGAAGGACCCGTTGTTGCAGCATGAAGGACCGCTCTGTCACTG